ACACACACACACACACACACACACACACACACACACACACGGTCAGCCCACTATGTAAGACTTATTTTTTTCTCGATGCCAAATGTTGCTTTTGGCCACATTAGTGAGACAGACAGATGGACGGGCAGACAGACAGACAGAACCTCACACTCCTCATTATGTGGCTTCTACTTGATTATTTGAGAAACACAATATTAAATCATGTTTTTCTTCACTGACTTAAATGTTTGTCAAGGTAGTTACAGCAAATAACAGAGAAGTGACGTACAAATGAATCGTCAACGACGAGGTTCATTAGGTAAAAGTCAAATCACCGGCCTGTTGTTACAGTGAGGACGGTAGCTGCCGTCACCTTCTTTCACTCTCCTGTTCTTGGATCTTCAGCAGTATTTCATTATTTAAATTTAGGGACAAATGTGTGGATCCTCCTCTGCCTCCTCCTTCGATCTGTTTACAATTATTTTCTCGTCTCACTCAGTTTCCACTCTGTCACAACAAGAAACTAAAAAGAAGCTTGAATGTTCATCTTAGCACCGTGTCTTAGTTTCACTGATGCTGTTTAATGTCTGTCTCTTTATCCGTCCCTCTGTGCTCCACAGATCCACACGTCTTTGATCAATGGCCGTCCCAGCGCGGAGGACCCCTCCCCGACTCTGCTCAACTTCACCTCGGCCCGCTACATCCGGCTGGTGTTTCAGCGAATCCGAACGCTGAACGCCGATCTCATGACCCTGACGCTCCGCGACCCCAGAGATGTCGATCCCATCGTGACAAGACGGGTGACGCTCCGCACAGACGCACACTTTCTTCTCTTTCCCACGAAACTATAAATATCTGTTTCAAAAATATAAATAGATTTTAAAATCTATTTTTTAATACAAGTTGAAGTTGAAGTGACTGATCGTCCATACAAGTATAATAAGTAGATTGTTTTTATGAATAACTGATGCTCATCACCCGATGTAATGTTTCGTTGGGTCAGGACGTCCTTTTCCTAAAGTGGAATTACCACAGAGATAAGAGCACAGGATCTCTGGCTCTTAATTTGCTAATATGCCCATTAACGTTATAGCACTCCTCATAACGTGTTTGGCTCTTGCTCCCTCTCTCTCATCAGTACTACTATTCCATTAAGGACATCTCAGTCGGAGGGATGTGTATCTGTTACGGCCACGCTAAAGCCTGCCCGCTCAACACTGTCACGAAGGTAAAATACTTCCTCCCTCTCAGTCCAGTTATTGATACGACCGAGGTACCGGAGCTCCTCCACACCGTGGAACAGGAGCAAAGAGCAGCCTCAGGCTCCAGCTTTTTATCTGCCGCCTTATATCAAACTTTATGTGTGTGTGTGTGTGTGTGTGTGTGTGTGTCTACAGGGGACACAGGTGACACAGTGAAGCATCGTCTCACATGTCACTTCAAACAGAGAAGTGTTTGATACCAGACACCTGATCTCACCACACACACACACACACACACACACACGGTCTTGTGTCCCGAGGCTGAACCATGAAGTCTTACTTGGATGTGACACCAGTGTCTGGTCCCTCTGTGATGATGTCATTAATATTAAGTAACGTTACCAGTGTGTAAAAATCTTCTTTCTCTTTAATCCTCAAACACCATTTTAAAGAATAGACAAAATTCAAATTGCCTGAGAAAAGCAAACTTTGTATGTTCAAAGAATCTTAATAATTCCACAGCAATCACATCTATTTTGTCTTTCAAATCATTTTTCAAACCTTATATACAAATCAAAGTGTTTCTCATGAATTCTCTAGGCTGTGTAGGCATGCTGTATATAATTCTGCATATATGTTGTATTAGAACACATGACCAGCTACATTTCCCTGTATTTACATGTGATTGTGTAGAAATTGTATCAAATCCTCTATTCCCACAGGATATTTAGCCCTTTTACTCCGATACAAGTCCGTCCATCCACGCACTAAGGTTTTGGGCAGATGTTCAGAAAAACCGAAAAGGTGGAGACCTCTGAGACAAGCCGCTGATGATCGTCCGCAGAACATTTGTTCAGATGCTCGCTCAGCACTGAGGCAGCCCGGAGCCAGAGCTGTAGCGTTGTGTCTTTAGATAAAAAGGGCAAATTCACTTGTGCCAACAAATCCAAACTTGGCTCTGGCTGTGCTTTTGTACTCCTCTCCTCTCAGTTAAATCTGACACACTCTCCACATCAACCGATTTACACAGTCCCAAATTGAATTACTGAACCTCAAAGTTGGCACATTTCCTGCTACACTCTGATTTAACTGTGTTTAGTTCTGAATTTATTTCTCTCCTGAGAGACTGATGCTGAACCCGTTTGCTGCCCACTGACAGTCTGGAAAGTGAACCAAGTTCTTTTATTGCGGTTGGCTCTGCAGCGAATACGCTGTTGTTTGATAGGCTTTCAAGAGGTCGTCCAATCTGATAATTACCTGCTTGCACCCCCTCCATTTTCATCTGAGTGTTCTGATGCCACATGTTAACAAAGAACAATTATAACGCACTCACCCGACCACACATTTACAAAGTCTTGGTTTATGACTTATATATAATATATGCTTACTTATCTACGCGTTGTAGGTTTAAAAATAAACAGCAGGGTCAGTTGAGGGAGGTTAAATACTGAGAATATCTGAAATGAAACTCAAAAATAGAAAATGAGATCATAATCGTACATTTAGGAGGAAAAAACGCAGGAAATTAGAGATTGAAGTGACAAATTTAGGAGAAAATGTATCACCGCTTGTCGAGTATTATAGCTACACATGGATGAGGTTTTATAGATCTATTAATTTGCAGTAAGGAAATGCTATCATCAGCATCTGGCCTTGACTTGACTGCAAGAAAACAATTTGTCATATTCTGTCAAGAATCAAGATATCTTTGCATCTTATCTCCATCTGATAATCTGTGTGAAGTTGTCGCGCTGCAGGAGTTCAGTAGACGTGTGCTCCTGCTGCGTCAGTACCTCACTGCTACCCATTGTGTTTTCACACACAAGACAACAAACTCTGAAACAGGAAAATTCAGCTCCCTGATAAGTCGCTCTTTTCTTGAAATTGACAAGTTTGTTTTTCTTTCTGTGACACTACTCTTTTCCCTGTAATCCAGGAAACGGGCGTTTTGTTGACAATGCAGTGGAAGCTCCAAAAAACAGTGTGTGGGATTGATCTGAATGACTGTGACTCTCAGTTATTTATTTTCTCTCTCCCAGAAACTGGACAGATTGTGAGAGAGAAAGTGGCTGCACTAGAAATAAAATCTTTTTATTTTTTTTACAAACACGTTTATTTCAACACATCTGCTCATATCTGTCCCAAATGAGAAATCTGTCAAATATCAGATTTGCACTGTTGATGCCTGATCTCCGTGTATTTGTGTGCGTTTTGCAGAAGTTCAGCTGTGAATGTGAACACAACACATGCGGCGAGAGCTGTGATCGTTGTTGCCCTGGTTACCACCAGCAGCCCTGGATGGCAGGAACCTTCCTCACTCGACATATCTGTGAAAGTAAGAAAAACAAATTGCGTGCTCGGATTTAAAACTCAAAACGACCCACAAGTGAACAACAAACCATCAAACTTCCCCCTTTTGGAAACGTTCTTTCGTGACTGCGGACGCCTACGTTTATGGTAATTTCTTGTATGTACCCACTCACCACATGCTAAATGGTAAAATCCCTGTAATATTACTGTATCACTGTAATATGTAAAATTACTACCGCACACCTACAACTTATTTGAACAAGGCTTTACAGAATTGAACTCTGAGGCAGCGCACTAAAATTAACACTCTCGCCAACCAGTCAGGATCCGTGTTTGATCTAAGGCTGTACGACGCCATCAAAAGTCACCTTTGCATCCATTAACCTTCATCAACTATGTAGCAGCAGAGCAATGAGGGTTAGAGGCTTCCACTTGTCATCATAAAACTGGGGTTACAACATATAATCTTCATTTTATTTCACACTGGCTACACCTCCTAACAGGCGCTGGAGTGTTGGAGGCCTGGTAACGGCTTCGTCTACCTTGACACTGACACAGCGAGACAAGACGTTAAAAGTCCCGCCTGGCGCCGCAGTAAAAGAATCCACCGTGACAGATTCAGCCCATTCATATGCATTAACCAGGTTGGATTAATGTACAGGTGGATCTAAAGCAGTGGTTCCCAAACTAGTGTAAGAAATAAAAATAAAACTTAAACGTAATTAGAAACAGGGAATTTAAGATGTAATTTTGAAAGCAATGTTTTCTAAATGAAAGAAATTATGACCTGGAGACTTTTTTCCGAGAGCATGTAGATGTTAAGCTCAGTGGGAGGCGCGGCTAATGCCCGGCTCCCCCGCTAACCACCGTAGATAGAGGACGACACAAATGAAGGGAAGGAACCACCTCCTCTGGAACCCGGAGATAAAACCCAGCTCATGGTCAGCGTGTGACCCTCCGGCTATGCTCTCCGCAAGAAACAGGATTGGGTGTTTCTCCAAACTCTTAATGTGGAAGAGGAAGTAAATGGATTAAGAGCGCGGCCCCCTCGTTGCCTCATGCTCAGTGTTTGGGATGGAGGAGAAGGCGGGGGCGGGACTCAGCCCGTTTTTGTTTGTGTTGTGTTTCAGAGTGTAACTGCCATGGAAAGGCGGAGGAGTGCGTCTTCAATCAGACCGCTGCAGACTTATCGCTCAGCCTGGACGTCCACGGCAAATACAGAGGGGGCGGGGTTTGCATCGGTTGCCGCGACAACACGGCAGGCATCAACTGTCAGACGTGCGTTGCGGGATACTACCGACCTGCTGAGGTATGCCACACACACACACACACACACACACACACACACACACACACACACACATCTCTGATTCATCACGATTGAAAGAAAAAGTTTGTTCCGACCAGGTGGGAGCCGAGGAAGACGACCCCTGCGTCCCCTGCTCATGTGACCCACACGGCTCTGTCAGCCAATCGTGTGTCGCAGATTCAAGCCAGGCGACGCCCCGTATGTGCACCTTTACTTTTTCATTATTCTGTCCCCCCTGTCACTCGCTCTGTCTTTGTGGGCATCATTTATTTAAATAAACACAATTCAAATCCCTCACACATACAGAAGTTCAGCGTGAACTTTGGGTTTGATGCTTCAGTAACGGCATTTCATTGATTTCAGTCCAGCCTGATTTCCTGCGGGGCCGGCGAGCATCAAGTTCAGCCTCGTGCTCGGAGGCTTCCGTTGCTGAAAAACGTCTCTGACAGAACAGAGCAACTATTTATATTAGAGATAATTTTACTCCCCTTTGTGTTTTTACTGTTTTCATGTAAGTGGAGCTATTTTAGGTGCAGCTCCTTCAAACAGTGTTTCTCTTCACACTGTCGTTGCTTAAGTGTGTCTGTGTGTGTGCGTTTTTGATTGACAGCCCAACCAGTAGGGTCGTGCCAGTGTAAGGAGGGTTTTGGGGGACGACGATGTGACAGGTGAGAGTCACACACACACACACACACACACACACACACACACACACACACACAGAAAGAGATAGAGACAGGTTGTGACAGGTGAGCAGAACCTTTGAGCTGTTGTCTGTTCCAATTAGTGTTTGAAAATTACCTGAAACTTTCCATTAAGATCTGTGATGTTTTCACGACGGTTAATTTTGTATAAAAGAGACAATTTCAGAGATTCTTCCGGACTTTGCCTCGTGTTCAGATGAAGAACATGAAAACGTTCGGAACGTTCAGGTTTTGGGTGACGCCCGGGGAGATCGTGCAGGAGGCGGGACGTTTAAATTCCGCTAATGAAATCAAAATTTTCATACCGTGTAATTTTCTTTTGTATTTTTCTCTTTTGCGTCCATCATGTTTTTACTCGCTCGCTGTTTGATTAGCTGTTCTCCTTTGGCTGCAGTTTGGATTTTATATGATAAATTTAAATCCCTCATGGAGTCACAGTCTGAGATCATCAGGAAAATCTCCACGCCAGATTAAAATCACAACCTTTGAATTAAAAGAAACTTTAATCTTTAAATCGAACCTGTAAATCTGCCGACAAGGTGCTTCATCCTAGTCTGCTGATTAGGTCTTGTGTTATCATTATGTTTTATTGCTGTAATCGCTTGTTGTCTTTTCTTTCTCAACTTCCCTCTGGATATCGTTCAGCTTTTATGTTCTGCAGTCTCAAAGCTGACTCTTTCCTCCAACTTTTTAATGACTTGGCCTGTGATGGCCAGCAGCAGGAACTTCGTCTTTACAATCACTTCTTAAAATCTGCTTTAATGGACTCGCTTCGGTTCACTCTCTCCGTTAATTAGGAAGTTGCTTCTTTGTGCATTTCCTGTGAGATTACACAAAAAGTACGCGTCACTTTCGGTGCAAGTTCAGCTGTTTGGCAACAAACTGAAGGTTCGGTGACGGATTCTGAGCACGGATGTAGAAGCTGTTCGGAGAGTTGAACCCGTGACCCTCTGGTTATGGGTCTGCCTCTCATCTCCTCTGTCTTTATTACCGTTATTAAACTCATTTGTCTGCAGGTGTGCTGTTGGTTATATGGGCTACCCGTCCTGTCAGCGCTGTAACTGCAGCATGGAGGGGAGCACAAATGATGACCCATGTATCACACCCTGCACGTGCAAGGTACACACTTACAGTCACACACACAAACAAACACGCACAAAGACTGACATGCACACAAATAATGACAAGTACTCTGCGCTAACCTCTCGAGCCCTGTCGTCATTATCTTCAGCACATTAACACTGCAATAACATGGCTTGTGCTCATAACATCAGTTTGAGGGCAGCTCATAAACTTTGTTGCATCTTCCATCTCTCTCTTTATCTCTCTCTCTCTTTCTGTCGGACTTTCTCGTGTAGGAAAATGTCGAGGGAGAGAATTGTGACCGCTGTAAACTGGGATTCTACGATCTCCAAGGTGACAACGGACGTGGCTGCGAGAAGTGCTCCTGCATGGGTGTTTCCAGCCAGTGCTCGGCCTCCGCCTGGACCTATCAGAACGTAGGAACCCGCTGTATAGACACGCTTCTCCTCCGTCAGGCGGCCAGGATGTTAAAAACCTCTTTTTAACCAAGCATTGATAAAACTTAAAAGTGGAAGATGAGTGGTTCTGCTTTCAGAGGTGGTTGTGGATCAGTTTAAATCTTTTGTGTCGAGTCCAACTTTACAGAAACTTGCTCTGCCGGGCTTCCACAAGACGTTTAGTGTTTATGCCTCTATGTTGGTGACAGCCTCAACCAACAGCATTATATTTTTGGGTTGTCATAAAAATGTCTTCAGATTTGGTGTAATGATGATGGGATACTTTGTGATGCCATCGCACCAGTGACATCCAGTGGCCGGACGCTTTATGTTCTTGTCCGTCCATACGTCCCGTTTTTGTGAACACGATATCTTGAGAACATCTTGAGGGAATTAACTTTCATACGAGCTGATCCAGTTTCAGGGGTCACGTTGTCCTCATATGTATTTTTAGCAGAATGACAACGCACTAGATGGTGAATCGTAAACCTGTTTCCTGCAACTTGACTGAATCTTGTACTACTGATATGATGATGTGTTATTGTTCAGTTAGCATCTAAATTACCGAGCCTGCTAACTGTTAATCAGCCTTAACGACCGGCTGTCAGATTCCCATCAGCCCTGCGTTTTTGTGATGGACTCATCAGTGACAATTCAAACAACCTCATGCTTTATATATATCTTTTGTATCTGGAGCCACACTGACCCTCCCAGCAGACGGAGCATGTCGTCTATTAAATACATATTCATGACGGGGAGCGCTCCACCTCGCTGATGACCCAAAAGATGTTTTTCAGATGACGGGCGAACTGCTCTTCCACACCGGTGCAGTTTGATAAACATCCTGCAGGCGTAGGATGAAGCAAAATGATTAATTTATCTGACTGCAGCTTTTCAGAATAGCAAACGTTAGAGGCATCTGGAAATGAATAAAACAAAATCACTGTGTAAAAGCAAAGATGGATCAACGAGACGTTTAAGAGAGTTGATGTGGATGGAACGCAGCTGAGGTAGAAACAGAGAGGTGGAAAAGAAGATGAGCAAAGTGAGGGTAGAAAAAAAAGAAGAGAAAGGAGGGGATGAGACCACGAAGGAGAAGGTTGAAGACAAGAGGCAAGAAGGAGGAGAGAGGTGAAAAGAGGAAAACAGTTTTTGACTGACAGGCGAGGTGGGAGAGGAGGGGAGAGGGGATGCTGACAGGATGACAGCTCTGATTTAGACACCGATAGTGTGTGTGTGTGTGAGTGTGTGTGAGTGTGTGTGTGTTCGTGTTCAAAAGGGGAAGCCAAGGTCAGGTTAATTGCAACGACAGATGTGTGTCTGGCTGTCTCTCTCTTCCCCCCCACACGAACACACACACACACACACACACACACACACACACACACACACACACACACACACACACCCTTCAGGAGTTGAAAAAAAAAGAAAGTCAGTTCCGAGACTTCCCGTCTGACACTTGACAGATGAACAAAACCTTTAAACTTATCTTCAGTTTTATATTTGTGATGATTCACCTTCTTCCTCTGACCTGGTCGGACCTTTAAAATATCCTCACTCGTCGGAGTTTGAGAATTCATGTGCTGTTTTTAAACAGTTTGGTTTTATTCGTGAAGCTGAAAATACAAAGTGAGTCAGTTGAACTTTTCACAAACTGTTTTGCTGTTACTTCTGAATAAACCATTACAATGCAAACCAACAGATGTTGTGGTTCTAGAGAACGCTGGTCTGTTTATGAGTGAAGTGAATGTCAGTAAAATTAACTTCTTTCCTCTAGTGTGTTATATAGATTTTTGTGAATGGCCAGACTTGAGCTGTGCATAATGCAGATGTGTATCGTGATGTCACGTGATGTCACGATGATGTGGAGGTAGCAGCCTGACTCCTGACTGTGTCTCAGGGGCTGCAGTGTTCTCTGAGGGGGAGAGGAGCTCCCTTCACCACAGACCCTGGGCTTTAAAACTTTGCAGAGCTTTATATCTCCACAAAAAACAACTTTTAACACTTGAAGAAAGAAAGACTGAAGCAGCAGAATAAGTCTCCTTTGAGTCATGTTGAAAACTGACAAAGAGAAGGGTCCAGTTTTATTAAACCCCTTCACAGAATGTCCAGAGCTTTGTGTGATTGAGATGAGATGGAGCTCAGCTTTAACTCTCTGTCTTTGTAGGAGACCACGCTGACGGGCTGGCACCTGGTTGGAGACACTGGAGGGAGAGTGTGGTCCGTGCACAGAGAGACGCCTCCGTATCTGAGCGTCCGACACGCAGATGTCGTGAATGATCTCGGCTCCGCCTACTACTGGAACGCACCTGGACTTTACCTGGGAAACAAGGTCAGAAGCAGGCGCGTAATTAATTTACACTTCAGTCAACATGTAATATGATTTTCTCCAAATTGTAAAGAAATGTTATTACTGTATAAAAACATTTCCTACCATGATAACTTTTCCAGGCAAATACGTAAAAGCTTCAGCATGAGGCTACAACACGGGGGGGCAGCCTCGAATATATAAAGAGGCCTATTTATGATCAAAAACAAAAATATCCCCTGGAACGTGAGTCTTGTGGGAATGTGTCGTGCTGGGATGTTCACCTCCCTCCCTCCCTCCCTCTCTCTCTCTCTTCCTCCCTGGATCATCTTCGGCTAATGTCAACTGTTTGAATCTGTGCTGCTGCGGTCGTATGTGGCCACGATTAGACTTTATCACTCCAGCTGGCAAATAGCTGCAATCCATGTATCTGAAGTCAAGTTGTTGCCCCACTACAACAACAGACTGACTGTGATGTTTGTCTGGGTGTCATGGCTGCGAGGAATATACCACTGAATTCCATTACTTTGCACCCTGCAGGCCTGGCTTGTCATCTCACTTCTTTGTCTGAACCTCCCCCCCCCCCAGCATCCCTCCGTCACCGCTTCTTTTCATTGGCCTGCTCTTCCAACCCTCGCTCCATCTCTCTGGGACTCCCATTTTTCACTTCCCTGTTCCTAAATCATCTCCCTCTACTTTACCGCGAGCTCTCTCCTCCCTCTTTCTCTATCTCTCGCTTTGTGTCTCTCAGGGTAAACAGTGTTTCGCCTGTTGAACTCGATAATCAACTGTTTTTCTCTCGGCGCACAAACACAAACAGAAGCACGTATTCAAAAACATTGAAACTCACACACACTCCCAAGCCTATATAAGTCGGATAATGATGTGTTTTGGAGGCATTAGGGACAGCAGAGCAGAACCAAATGCCTCCATACATGTGAAACAAATAAATTACAACTGTGTGTGTGTGTGTGTGTGTGTGTGTGTGTG